ATCGACCGGGGGATCAACCCGGACGGGGGAGTCTGGTGCACGAAGAGCGGGATCGGGGAGTATGGTGTGGTGGGCTGTGGTTATGGTGGTGGGTGGTGTACACCAGTTGGTTGGTTGGTATGTGGGTCGTGGGTGGTCCGGGTACACAGAGCCGCACCCGTCTCGATCTTGTCGTCCATGATGTACCACATCGCTGTCGCCGTCATCGTCCTCATCGCAGTCACAGATGTGGCTCAATCGACTATGCTCCAAGCCTGCCCGCCGCTGCATCCAACCTCTTGCTCGCACCTTGCTTCGCCTACGCCTGATCTGGCGCTCTTTACGGACGTCTGCCTCCGCCAGTCGATCTCGGCGGAGCAGCCTACCGACCGCTGCAAGGGCATCACCACGGGCGTCTTTGCCTGCCGATGCTGCGGCGCGCCGATCTTCTCTGCGGTGGACAAGTGCGAGTCCGGCACCGGCTGGCCCTCGTTCACCCGCCCTGTGGTGGCAGGCGCCGTCTGCTCGCCAGCTGGCTCGCGAGCAGTCCGCTGTGCCGCCTGCGGCATGCACCTCGGCCACGTCTTCCGCGACGCCGGCGCCTTCGGCGAATGCGTCAACCCGGAGAGCGGGGAGCCGTCGCGGTTCTGCATCGACGGTGTCTGCCTCGAGCCGCCGGCCAACAGCCTCGGCTGGACTGCCGGCTGCTCGCGGAGCGAAGCGACGTTCCGCGAGCTCTGACGCGATCAGGCAGCAGAGTGATGGAAGCTGCATCATGTACTGTATCGTTGAGGAGGGAGGCTACGACTACTCGACTACAAACAGCTGCAACTTGCCCGAGGCGACGCCGGCACGTAGCTCATCGAGCGAGATGCGGCCGTCACCGTCGGCATCGAGCGCACCGAGTGTGGCGTCGACAAGCTCCCACGTGTCGCGGTCGCCAGTGTACGTCGCCTGCGCCTTTTCGGCCGAGACAAACATGGCGTACAGCTCATCGCGCGAGAGGAACCCGTCACCGTTGCTGTCGTACGTCCGGAACATGACCTGCAGCCGCTCCTCCTCGGTCGAGGAGCCGACATGGGCCAAGAGGCCGACGAGGTACTCGCGAAAGTCGATGGCACCCGACGAGTCGGCGTCAAAGGCGCGAAAGTGCTCGGCAATGACGACCGGGTCGGTGCACCCAAGATGGCGCAGGCCGTCGGAAAACTGGTCCATCGTCAGCTTGCCCTGGGTCGATCCGGTGCGGGCCACCCACTTGTCGTGGAGCTCGAGGACGGTGGCGAGTGCGGGCGCCGCCAGACTACCCAGCGACTCGAACAGCTCGTACTTGTGGCGGACCGACTCGGTCCGAAGGCTCACCGCTCGCGGCCGCTCGGCTCGGCTTGCCTCCGGGCTCGGGGCCCGCGATGCCGGCTTGGCGCTCACCTCGAGCTTTGGCGCAACCTTGCCGCGAAAGTGCTCCAGCGCCGCCAGGAACTCGGCGTCCGACCCGATGGCCACCACATCGCCGTCGTCGTCGCGGAACTTGGCCACCATGGGCTGGCCGTACTTTTCTGCCAGCCCGGCAGCCAGATCCGCGAACGTGGCCTCGCGCGGCAGGTCCAGAACACGCACCTCTTCCTCGCCGCGCGCCGCGCACTTGATCAGCAGCCGCCGCGCCGGTTGAGGGTCGGAGACCTGCATTGTTCGCGCCTGCGGTCGGTTGCGAAAGTATTTGTGCAGGAGCACACCTGCGCAGCTGCTCAGCTCTTCCGCCACCAGATCGCTTGGCCGGCTGCCCGCCGCCTCGGCGACAACGGCGAGGATGTTGAAGACCAAATCTTCCGCTGCGCTCTGGCCGACCGGCACCAGGTTCCGCCACGCCGCCACTACCGCACTCGGCGTGGAGCTCACAAGTGCTTCCATCAGCTGGCCGAGCGCGGCACAGTCGGTGGTGGTGAACAGCAGCGCGTGCTCGTTGACGGTGGCGGCACCAACCTCGACCGCGGCGTGCCCCGACTCGAGGATGGCGGTTAGCCCAGCGAGCGCGTCGAGAACAAGGTCGTAGTTGAGTGCCGGGCCCGAGTACCCGTACACGTACTGGAGCACACTGTCGTGCTCGAGAAAGAGGGTGAGGGACGAGGCAAAGAGCGCGATGAGCGAAAACTCGTGCACGAGCAGCCGGACTTGGGCCGGCGAGCCCTGCGCACAGAGCCGCAGAACATGCAGCGCCCGCGCCCGCTGCGCAGGCGCCTCGACGACTAGCTCGACCAGCCTCGGGACCAGCTTGGCTTCCAGCACACCATACACAGCACGCTTGAGCCCGACCAAAACTGTCAGCACCCGCAGCGTTGCGTCGAGCACCGAACTCGTGCTTTGCTCCGCCGAAAGAACCTCAGCAAGGATCTCAAAGAGCCGCTCCCGCAGCAGCGCGTCCATGATGTCGTCGTCGACCAAGAGGCGAGCCACGCAGTCGAGCGCCGCGGCGGCGACGCTTGCCTTGCTGCTCCGCGCAAGATGCAGCAGCTTGCTCCACACCTGGGCAGTGACTTTGTGGCTCACGCCTGGTAGAACAAAGGTAAGGCCGTAGAGCACGTTGGCCAGCGCCGACTCGGGCATCTCGGTCCGGCCCCATTCGAGGAGCAAATCGATGAGGACGGTGACGGCAGATCCAACATCGTCCCAGGCGGGCGGCGACTCGTGAGTCGCGCCGCAGAGAATGGCGAGCACCCACGTGCCGCGGGCGACAAAGCCGCGCGGGCGTGACGGCGCCAGGCAGCCAACAAACGACGCCACCAGCGGAAGGAGCGCGCCAGCTTCGATGACTGCGGTGCGGTACGTCTCGTGCCGCCGCGCAATGGCACCCAGCGTCTGCATGGCGGCCTCGCGGAGGCCCGAGTACGTCGACTCGAGGAGGGTGACGAGGAGCGGGAGGACGCCGGCAGCGACCATCCGCGACTTAAAGTACTCGGTTCCGAGCGCCATGTTGCTCTCTTCCGGCACCAGCGCCACGGATGGGCCGCCGGCCATGTACCGCAGCGCACGCGCAACCTCCCACTGGAGCGCCGGCGAGTTGAAGGAGAGAAAGTGGACAAAGCGCGGGATGTGGCTGTCGAGCATGTCAAAGAGGGCCAGGATGTCGTCCGCCACCTCGCGGCGCTCGCTTGGTGTGGCAAAGAGCACCATGATGCGGAGCAAGTTGTTGACCACCTCCATCAGCTCTTGCGCTTGATCAATTGTCTTGGCCTTGGCGAGGCTCTTGGACAGCTCATCGAGGGAGCCGCCGCGGAAGACCTCCATAAATGCGGCCTTGTCGGCGGCAGACGCCTCCGCGGTGACCAAGCCAGGTACGTCGATTTCGGCGCCGCCGGCGCTGCCCGCTGCCACCATGGTCTCGATGTCGGCGTCTGCAAGCCACGGACGGAGCCGTGCGCGGACGTCGTCAAAGTCGGATGCGCGCGCGACCTGGAACTGGGTAAAGTAGCGCGCAATCCGGCGGTGGATGTCGAACCGGGCCACGTCTGCCGAGAGCCCTGCGGTAGCCTTGCGCTTCACCCCGCGCTGCGTCTCATCGTCCTCGGAGAGCCAGCTCCGCATGGTTGCCAGAAACTCCTGCAGCGAGACGAGGCCATCGCCGTCCGAGTCCATCTGCATCAGCAGCGTCTGAACCTCCTCCTCCGACGGCGTATGTCCCAGCCGGACCAGGACCGTCCCGAGCTCTGCTGCATCAACCGCGTTGGATCCGTCAGCATCGAGGAGCGAGAAGACCTTGCGCAGCTCACGCTCTGTCACATCGTCGAGCCGACCTGTCCCCCCCCCTCCCAGGTTGCGGTTCCAGCCACCGACCGCCACCACAGGCATGAGTCATGCTCGCCACACCGCACGCCACAGTCCCTCCCCCTGCTTCCCCCTCCCCCTCTCCTTGCCCTGCAACTTACGCGGATGGGCTGCCATGTCTGCCGAGTCGCGTGTGTCGGCATGGGTGTGGCGGTCGGGCGTGACCGTCGACAGGTACCGTTACCGGTCTGAGTCGCATTATGGCGGTCGGTCGATGTTCGGTGGGTGTTTGTCATTTTTTTTTTCGGGGCGGCGGACGCCCGGGGCTTGCTAGCTCAAGGCAGGCGGAGCGCGGGCGGGTACGGGCATCGAGACTGAGGAGGACGTGGACATGTCCCAGGTCTGGGGTGCGGCCGGAGCGGGGGCAGGGGCAGGGGCGGGGGCGGGGGCGGGGGCGGGGGCGGGGGCGGGGGCGGCACCGGTTGTGACTGTGATGTCCGACACCGTCAGTGGGCCGGCATCACCGCCGTCGTCAGAGGACGAGAGCTGATAGGCCGCGACGGCTGAGGCGGTGACCGGCTGAGAGCCCGCTGCAGCACTGGCACTTGCGGATGAGGCACCGGCCTCACCAGCAGCGCTGCGGCGTGACGACCGCCGGCGGCGCTTCTTGTTCTCGGCCTCGGCCTTGGTCTCGGTCTCGGCTCTGGCCTCGGTCTCGGGCGCGGTCGACCCGGGCACCGGCGCCGGCTGTGGCACTGGTGCCGGCTGTGGCACCGGCTGAGGCTCGGATTGCGGTTCCGGCTTTGGCTTTGCCGGCGTCCGCCGCTGACGCTCAGCTGTGACTGGGGGCTCGGGCTCGTTGTCAGACTCGGCCGAGCGCGGCGCCGGCTGGGTAGCGTCGGCGCTGCCGTGACCCTCCTCGACCTTCTCGAACAACTCGAGATGAGTAAAGTCCGGAACGTTCTCGGTCTTGGACCGCGCGCACCAGTAGCAGACGACGCCAAAGCAAAAGACGAGAACGGCGAGGCCAACGAGGACAAAGACGACTGCACGAGTTGAGTCCGAGACCTCGGGCGGCGGCGGGACGGCGGCGACTACCGGCGGCGGCGGCGGCGGCGACGGCGGCGGCGACGGCGGTGGAGGCGGCGGCGGTGACGGCGGCGGCGGCGGCGGCGGGTTGATCGTGGTTGCTGGCATGCTGGCGGTAGCGTCGTCGCTGTCACGCGGCGAGCCAGCATGCCGAACGGTGACCTGGATGGTGTCGCTGCCGCGGGTGATGGCGGTGTACATGAGGGCGTCGAGGACCATGTTGGCGTCATCGACCGCGGCAGTAAAGGCGAGGTCGGTGTGGAGACCGGTCGGCGCGCCGCGGACAAAGACGGCGCCGGCCGGCAGGCTCGTTCCACCGAACGAGAACACGCCTGCCGCGGCGGTGACCGAGACAAGGACCGCCGGCGCGCCTGTTGACGCTACCGGCGACGAGAGCTCGACAGCCGGCCCGACCGGGACCGGCGTGAGCAGCTGCGGTGCGACGACCGCCGGCTGCGAGATGACGTACGCGCCTGCCGGCGTGGGAGGCAGGCTTACCGGCACGTTGAGCGAGAAAGAAAAGTAGCCCGGCGCGCCCTCGGCGACGTCGAGGGTAAAGACGCCCGACGCGGCGCCGTCTGGGTTTGCGCCTGGCGTGTACGAGAGTGTGGCCAGCGCAGCATTGATCTCGGCAGCGGTGCCGACGACAATGGCGGCCTCGTCGGCACGCCCGCTGCCGACAAGCAGCGAAGCTGATCCGAGCGAGCCAAACGAGAACGAGCCGACGTCAACCGATATGGTCAGCGCGAGTTTGGACGACGCCGGAGCGTCCGGGTCAGCCACCGTGAGCGGCGGTGCAAACGTGAAGAACGCTGCGCCTGCAGCCATGGTGTACGGTGCACCAGGAGCGCTGATGGTCGGCGGCGAGAGGACCGGCACGTGGATGGCCACCGAGTCACTCACTGCTGCGGCGCCGGGTGGGAAGAGCGTGCCGACGAGATACAGGCCGCAGCTGGCGGTGAGAGTGTCACTGCCCGGCGAGCCGGTAGGTGGTGCAAGGAGGGTGCGGTAGGTGGCACTCGCCCATGCCGCGGTGACCTGCGCGGCAGTTCCGACGACTGTCACCGAGGTCGCCGCCGCAGCTGAGCCATGGCTCACACTTGCGCCCGAGCCTGCGAGGCTCGGCAGCGTAATGAGGCCGGAGGCTGTGGCGAGGGTGCAGCTCAACTGGCGGGTGCTTGTCGCTGTGTTCGCGGCAGTGACCGAGAGGCCGGTAATCGTGAGCGTGTCCGAGACAGCGACGGTGAGCGGACCGGGGCCAGGCGCCACCACTGTCGGCGGCGCGGCGGCGGTGTTGATGGAGACCGACGCCGCGGACGCGGCGAGGCCGGCGTGGACATCGGTGACTGAGACGGTCAGCGCGTCCGAGGTGGCTAGAGCAGCGGTTGCCGCCAGCGCGGTGTACGACATTGACGCCAGAGCGGTGTTGCAGTCTGCGACCGCGCAGGCAAAGGTGATGGCTGGCGCGCCGGTGAAGGCGCCGACCGTGAGGGTGAGGCCGCCGACGGCCGCAATGCTGACGTGGCCGTGCTGGACTGCTACGGTCACGGTGAGGATGTCGTCCTCGGCGTCGCTGACGGTAAAGGCCGAGACGTCAAGCGGAGCGGCCCAGTAGCCGGTGAGGGTGCCGGGCGTGGCGAGAGTGACGCGGGGCACGTCGTTGACCGACGAGACGTCAAAGACGATCGGCGCCGCGGCTGACCACGCCTCGCCATCTGTCGCGGCAAAGGTGAACGAGGCCAGGGAGGTGCCGTGGGCATCGGGCGGCGGAACGTAGACTACCCGGCCGCCGGCGTCGGTGACTGAAGTGCCTGCGGTGGTGATGGCGGCGCCGCGGACAATCGAGACAGACGGCGGCGAGCCGGCGACGAGCGCTTGGTACAGCGTGCCGGCGGTGGGGAGCGAGGCGACACGGAAGGCGAGCCTTGCACTGTCACCGACGTCTACGTCTGAGCCGGCGAGGGTCACCACGGTGTCGGTGTCCTCGACGGCGGCGACGGTGGCGGACGCTGCGGTCGGCGGGTTGTTGTACGGGCCAACTGCGTAGTTGAGCGCGCGCTCGCTGTCGGAGAGCGGCTTGCCGTAGATGGCAGCCTGGTGGAACTTGAGCCCGCGGAAGACGCTGGCGCCCTGGCCGGTAGAGCCAAGGGTGAGCGTCTTGCTGCCAAAGCCGTCCCAAGCGCCGCCAGTGAGCGGCGAGACAAGCTCAGTCTCGGCTCCGTCACTCGAGACGAGGACCGAGTCGACGTAGAGGCGGATGTTGCCGTAGGGGGCAGCAGCGGTGTCTGCAGCAGGTACAGAGACAAGCAAGTGATGGGTTCCGCCGGCAGTGAGCACGCCTGCAGCCGACACAATGGTGGTGCAGTACGGCGAGCCGGCGTTGCTCTGCGCCAGGCGCAGGACGACCGAGCCTGAGCCTGCGTAGTAGAGCTGCAGCGGAGCATCGACGTCGCACTCGTCGACAATGTCGGAAGAAAAGACAGCGAGCCGGGCGTTGGCCGCGGGCACCGGCAGCGGATCCGGAAGGGTCATCCACAGCTCGAGCGAGAAGCCCGTGGTGTGGACCGAGCCGGCGAACCTCGCCCGGGCGTCGAGGATGTTGCCCGAGGTCGCCACGGGCTTTGCGGCAACAGTGTCGGCCGAGACAGCGAGAGCGTGCGGCGGGGCCCACGCCGAGAGCGAGTGATGGAACGTTGCGTTTGAGACGAGGAACGGAGGATCGACCGAGAAAGAGCTGGTGGCCGAGAGCGCCCACTGCGGCTGGCTACCTGCCCACGCCGCAAACGGGTAGTAGTAGAGGAGGCCCGAGGAGGTGCGGCTGGCGAGGGAGGCGGATGCGGGCGACGGGAGGAGGGCGACCATGACCATGGCCACTACCATTCCTGCAACACACAGCATGTGCTGACTCTCCCTGTGCATGGCGGTGGTCGTGGTGGAGTGTGGGGGCGGTTGGGGTGTTGGGGTAGGGGGGGCGGGGGGGGGGGGGAGGCCGAGTTGATCGTGTTCGTTCGTTGGTGTTGGCGTTGTTGGTGATCAGTGGTGATTGTTGGTGATCATTGGTGATCATTGGTGATCATTGGTGATCATTGGTGATCATTGGTAATCAGTGGTGATCATTGGTGATTGTTGGTGATCATTGGTGACCATTGGTGACCATTGGTGATCATTGGTGATCATTGGTGATCATTGGTGATCATTGGTGATCATTGGTGATCATTGGTGACCATTGGTGATCATTGGTGATCATTGGTGATCATTGGTGATCATTGGTGACCATTGGTGACCATTGGTGACCATTGGTGATCATTGGTGATCATTGGTGATCATTGGTGATCATTGGTGACCATTCGTTAGTGTCGACGTACTGGTGTCGCTTGCTCCACCACACGGCACACGTGCCGACCACCGCACCACCACCTCCTCCCTCCTCCTCCCTCCCCCCCTTCTCCCCTCCCCCTCCCACACCGCACCCCCCCCCCGTCACCGGGCCCATGTCGTCGACGCTTGTGGCGGCGGTCAATGCGGGCGACGTCGAGCGTGTGCGGGAGCTTGTGGGCAACCCCAACGAGGCGGCTTCGCTCGGCTTGGCTCGCAGCGGCCTCACCGTCCTCCACACGGCAGTCTCGCTCAAGGACGCAGGCGTGGTCCAGGCACTCATCGCCGGCGGCGCGGATGTCAATGCCAAGACCGACGATGATGCTGCGTTGACGCCGCTGCAAATGGCGGTCCGCGCTGGTGCCTCGGACCTCGTCAAGGTGCTCCTTGACGCCGAGGCGAGCATCGAGGCGCCGCCGGGAAGCCTCTCGGTCCTCCACGACGTGTCGTCGACCTTTAACGGCGCCAAGATCCTCAAGATCATGTTTGACGAGCGTTGCATTGACGTCGATGTCCGCGGGCCTGGCAAGAACACGCCGCTACACTCGGCCGCTGCCTCGGGCTACGCCGAGGTGGCCGAGCTCTTTCTCCGCGCCCGCGCAGACACTGCTGCCGTCAACGCCGACGGGCAGACACCGCTGACACTGGCCATCGAGGGTGGCCACCTTGGGCTGGTGCGACTGCTGCTGGACTATGGAGCGGATCCGACGCAGAAGCGCGGCGACAAGCTGGCCCCGCTGGCGGTGGCAGTCTCAGCAGGCCTGCCCGCCATGTACCGCATCATCCTCGCCGCCCTCCCCATCCAGAACATCGACGAGTCGGTTGTGCTCTCGGCGTTGGAGCTTCCGGCGCAGGACGCGCTTGACGTCCTCACCCTCATCCACAACGACATGCCGGACGACCCGATTCCGCGGACGCGGACCAAGGCTGGCGAGACGCCGCTGCACATCGCGGCCTCCAGCGGCCTCCGACTCGCAGACGTGGCGCTCTACCTCATCGAAAAGTATCCGAGCATGGCGACGACGCTCAACAAGGCCAAGTCATCGCCGCTCTTCTCGGCCTGCGCCTCGCCAGAGCTCTCGGTCGACCTCATCTCGGCGCTGCTCGCCGCCGGATGCGACCCCAACGCGACGAACAAGTCCAAGGCGACACCGTTGCTGGTCCTCATTTCGGGCCACTCGGTCGACGGCGATGACGACGGCGACGAGGACGACGACGAGGCCGAGGCTAAGGCGGCCATTGCGCGGGCCGCCGCCCGCCGCGGCATCTGGGCCACCGAGCCGACCAAAGCAGCTGATGTCGGCACCGTTGTGGTCGCCCTTGTCGCCGCCGGTGCCAACCCGTTCCACACCGACAAGTCCGGCTCGTCCGCTCTCCACCTCGCCATCCGCTCGGGAGCGACCGAGGTTGCCAAGCTCATGCTCACGGCGCTCATCGCGGCGGCCGAGGCCAAAGGCGCGCCGCTTGTGGTGGCGGCCGACTCGTCGAGTAGCTCGCCGCGGTCGTCGGCCGGCGAGTCCGGCGGCGGAAGCCTCGGCACCACCGCCGACTCGCTCTCGTCACTCTCATCACTCTCACCGTCAGTGCTCATGCCAGCGGCGACGGCGCTGGACAAGCGCGGCCTCACACCGCTGCACTACGCGGTCCTCACCGGCTCGCACGAGCTCGTGGCATTAATGACGGGCGCGGGCGCGAGCGGGCTGGCTACCCAATCGAAAGCCACCCGGCGGGCCGGGCAGACTGCGCTCCACATGGCGGCGGCGTCCGGGCACGTCCGCATTGTGCTCACGCTCCTCTCGTCCGGCGCCGAACCCAACATTACCGACGAGGCGCGGCGGCTGCCGCTGCACTACGTGCTCGACACCGAGTACACTGCGCCCGAGGTCGTAGACGTCCCGCCGGCCGGTGACCTTCCAGCGGTGAGCCTGCCGGACGAGGCCAAGCGGCTGCTCATTGCGCGGCTGCTGCTCGAGAGCGGGTCGAAGATCGCGGCCGACGATAGTGCCGGACTCACGCCGCTGCATCTTGCAGCGCGCAACTCGCTCACCCACGTCACCGAGTTGCTTCTTGCACTTGGTGCCTCTCCGTATGCGTTGACCAAGAAGAAGGAAACGGTGTTTGATGTGGCGAGCACGCCGTGCAAGGCCTTTGTCTCGAACGCGCTTTCGGACGCGCCCATCCTGCTGCGGGGCCAGCTCGCGTGGCTAACCCGCGGCAAAATGACCAAGTCTGTGTCGTGGCAGCGGCGCTACGGCGTGCTGCGGCCGTCGCGGCTGATGCTCTACGCCTCGGCCAAAAAGTACGAAGCAGCGCCCGACTCGCCACTCCTTGTTGTCCCGCTCGGGATGCCGGCGACCTCGCTAGAGATGGCATCATCGACGGCGTCGTCGCGGCGTGGCATGTCAACTGTCTCGCTCCTCGACGACTCGTCGGCGCCGTCGATGGCGGCGGCAGCGGCATCCGGAGCGGCGGCCGAGCCGTCGGCAGCCGACGGAGGCGCCGAACAGCCGCCGCTCACCTCGTCGTCGTCGGTCCACATTCGGCACCCGCACGGTGATGCAATTATCTCGGCCGACGGTGCATCGCTCATCGAGGCGTGGTACATTGCGCTGGTGGCGGCGTCGCGGGTACACCCGCTACACGCCTCGGTCATCCGGCCTGACCCGGCGCTGACCCAAGTGCTGCTGGCGGGCGGTGCCGACCCGCACGCAGCCGACGCACTCGGCGCTACTCCGCTGCACGTGGCGGCAGCTTGGGGCCGGACCGAGCAGGCTCGGGCACTGCTGCAGGCCGGAGCCGACGCTGACGCCCGCGACCGGTTCTCGCTCCAGCCGATGCACCACGCCATCCTTACCCGCAACCTCGACCTGGTCGATGTGCTCCTCGACTACAAGGCGACCGGAAGCGCGGCATCGGCCTGGGGCGCGACAGCACTCGACCTACTTGTGCCGTCGCTGATGCCTGCGGTCCGAAGCGCGCAGTCCCGGCCGCGGGTGCGGACGACGCCCAAGCCGCCGCCATTGGCGTACTACTACGCGCGGGCGCGAAACGCGCTGCTGGATCTCAACCCGCGGGAGATGGCGGAGACGATCATGTTGCACTCGCTCGACGTCAATGCCCTGGATCCCAATACCGGCGTCGGCCTCCTTCACTACTCTGCCGTTCTCGGCCTGCCCGAGGCGCTCAAATTCCTTTCAATGCTCGGGGCCCAGCTCGACCTGGTCTCGCTCCACGGCACGCCGCCACTGCTCCTGGGAGTTGTCTGCGGACACCACAACGTAGTGGAGGCGCTGCTTGCCGTCCACTCTGAGGTCGACGCGGTGGACGCGTCCGGGGCGTCGGCGGCAGACCTCGCGCAGACCGAGTCGATGAATCTGCTGCTGCAGCGCGGCGCGGCGCTGCACTCGGGTTGGCTCGTCAAGCGTGGCGGCGGGACGTCGCTGCTGGGGCGCAAGTCGTGGAAGCGGCGGTGGTTTGTCCTTCGGTCAAAGGTCATTTCGTACTACGAGGGCTCGGGCTCGACCGAAGTGTTGGGCTCCATCCCGATGCCGTCGCCGGTGGAGCGTGACGACGAAGCAGGCAAGGACAAGCGGTATCACTTTCGGGTCATCACGCCCAAGCGGACGTACTACCTCGCATCCGAGTCGAAGCGCGAGGTCAAGGACTGGGTCAACGCCATCACGTCGGTCAACACCGAGTCGGCGTCGCTTGCTGAGTTTGAGCAGCTCAAGGCGACGCTGTTCTTTGATCCAGCCGAGCACCTGCCGACAGATTGGAGCGGAGAGTACCGGCCGGGCAAGTACGCGCTCCATCACGCAGTCGATGCCGGGACGGTCAACTTTGCGAGTCTAGCCTCGTCGTTTGATGGCTCGGCCCACAAGCGGCACTTTAGGTACTCTGTCCTGCATTTTCTTGCCGTCTCGCCGTCGGCGCGACTCAAGGTCGCGTCGGCGCTGCTCTCGAGCCTGCGGTCGGTGCTCGACTCCCGCGACGCGTTTGAGCGGACGCCGCTCCACCTGGCAGTGGCTGCCGGCAACGCGTCGCTTGTACAGGCGTTCATCGACGCGGGGGCTGACGTCAATGCCGTTGACAACTGCGGACGGGGGGTGCTGCACTCTGCTGCGCTCGTCGGCAATGCCAGCATTGTGCGAGCGCTACTCGACGCCGGTGCCGAGGCTGCAACTGCCGACAGCGTGGCGGGCTACTACCCAGCTCACCTGACGGGCGATGACGATTGTGCGCAGCTGCTCACGGCAGCGTGCGGCAACGGGCTGCCTGCGGAGCCGGTCGGAAAGGCCAACGCCGTTGGATCTGTCGAGTTGGATGTGGCGGGCATGCTGGAGCGGGCGCGCGAGTCGGCGGCCTCGCGCGCGCTGGCGTCGCTGCCAAAGGCGTCGCTTCCCGTGATGACAGCGGCGGCGGCGGAGCTTGACGAACTGTACACACACGCCCCGCTCAACCTGACCAAGGATCCGGAGGCAGCGCTGCTGGAGATGCAGTTTGAGTATGTGTTCCGTGACCCGGTCTCTGTCCCCCACGAGCACACTTGTGCGATGGCGTCACTGGTGAGCCATCCGGTGCTCAAGCGGCTGCTACTGACGGATGCACTCGCGGCGCGTGTGGCGGCGGTGGTGAGCGCGGCGGTGGAGGTCGCGCTTGCCACGCCAGACAATGGGCTGCCCGAGCACCGAGAGGAGGCGTCGCGGTCGCAGCTCGCGTCGGTGTATGTGCAGCTTGTCAACGGCACGATCGGGACGCGGAGCAGCGCCGTGGCGCTTTTCGCGCAGATTGTGGACGATGTTGCCGAGACGATGACGCACGTGCTGGAAGCCGAGCCGCGGGCGGCGGCGAGCGCGCAGATGTGGATGCACACGACGGTGGGGCCTGCGCTTGGCGCATTTGTTTACCGACCGCTGATGCTGACGCGGATCATCCGGTACCTCTCCATCTCGCTGTCGAAGGACACGGTGGTGCGGTTTGCGTCGCGGCCAGCCAGTCTTGACGTACCTGCGCCACTGGCGCTGTCGGACATTGCGTCCATGGCGACATCGGACGGGTACTCTGTCATCGAGATGTTCACCAACGAGTTTTCGAGCTATCAGGAGGTGCTGGCGTACATGAGCGCGCTGGCGACGCACCTCGGGAGTGCGCCGGCGTCGCGCGATCTGCTCATCTTGTACGGGCGCGGGCTGTTTGAGCTGGCGCGGCGGAGCAAGGACAAGAAAGAACAGCCGCGGCTGCAGCTGCGGACGAACCGAGTGCTTTGGCTCGCGCTGCGCGGGTACGACGAGCCGGGACTTGCGCGCGGCGAGGACGGCACCAAAAGCCTGCTGCTGTACTTTGCGGGGAAGCACGTGTGGGCGAGCCGCAAGGCGGCAGAGGCCATGCGGCTCGCGTTTGCGGTTGCAATCTACTCGCTCCCGCATGAGGCGATCGCGGCGCACAAGCGCGACCCAAGCGCGTCGTCGCCCGTCATGCACGGGCTTGTGGCGCTGGTCCCAAAGCTCTTTGAGTACTACTGCCGGCTGCTGGAGCAGTCGAAGGAGTACACGCTCGCGCTCATCCACTACCGCGAGGCGATCCGGTTCTCGCCGGGCTACCGGGCACACCACATCGACGCGGTGCGGATGTCGCGTCTGTGCAAGCTGCGGTCTGACCGGACGGCGGAGGTGTTTGACCTGCTGTGTCACGTCTACGCTGACGAGCCCGATACATGGGCCGAGTACGCGCTGCACCTCATGCAGACCAACGATGTGCACGCGGCCGGGCCGCTCCTCCGCAAAGCGCTCGGACTCGACCCGACGCACGCCAAGTCGCGTAAGTACCTCAAGCTGCTCATCTCCAAGTACCCGACGCTGCAAATCTCGACGGATGCCGAGCTCCTCGTGCGCGGGTCGTCCAAGGGCGGCGCCGGGTCGAGCAGCGGCGCCGGACCCGGCGGGCGGATGGCAGCCGGGCCGGGTGGGCGGATGATGCCCGGAGGTGGCGGCGGAGGCGCTGGAGGCGGAAATATGGCACACGGTCAGCCGCAGCAGCTGCAGCTCGGGTTCCAGGCCGGGCCGGGCCGTGGCGGGATGGTAGGCGGCGGGATGATGGGCGGCGGAGTCGCCGGCTCGCCGCAAATGATGTACGGAGGCGGGCCGTCAGAGCCGGTAATGGGCGGTGGGGCTGGGCCGCAGTACGCTATGGATCTGCCACAGCAGCAGCCGGTGTTTGTGACGGCAGACATCCAGGAGGCACCGACGATGCAACCGCAGGTGTTCAAGATCGAGTAAACGAGCGTTACGGCAGGTGCTGGCGCTTGGATGGACGCGCTTCATCGGCCGGTGTCGCGGCATAGGTGCAGAACGGAGCAAGGTCGGAACCGACAAAGTGCAGAGCGCGCGGGGTGGGCTCTGGCGGGAGCTCGGCGGGGAGCGAGAGAGTGAGGGTGTGCTCGGTCCCGGTGTTGCCGTGGGTGTAGGACCTTGTCTGCAGGTCTGCGACCGAGGCGAGGACTAGGTCAGTTGCCGGTGTCGCCTCGCCAAGGGCAAGCGTGGGCCCATCATCGACCGAGAGCAAATCAAGGGCGTCCACAGCGTCCTGTGGCAGAGCACGGAGGCCGGTCGGGGTGTAGTCGAGCCAGATGTTGACAAGGATGGTGCAGCGGGTGGAGGCCGGCGCGGTCGACGGCACCATGTCAGCCGGTACACCGTGGAGGAGGCGACCATCAAAAACCATGTGCTGGCGAGCGTGCGGATAGACGGCCCAGCCGCTGGCGTAGGCGCCGTAGACCGAGTCCTCCTCGCCGTAGTCGGGCGGGCAGGCGATGGGAAGGACAAGGGTCGGCGCGCCGGCGTCCGAGACGTAGGTGACAGTCGAGAGGTGCGGAGTGAGGTTGAGCGGAATGCCGGCGTCAATCAGCTCCTCGTCCTTGTCGTGGTGGAAGCCGATAGAGTTGTCGGGCTCGTCGTGGCGGCAAGCGGAGCGGTCTGGCGACGGCGGGTGGCGGATCTGGACCCACCACTCTGCGCCGGATGCGGCCGGATCGTAGTCGATGCCCGGGCGGAGGCCGGCGCGAGCAGTGTGAGCATTAAAGACATGCTTGGCAAAGGCCTCGAGCCAGACTCTGGGAGCGGCATCTGCGGCGATGAAGAACGACTCGTCGACAAAGACCTCGACCGCGTCTGCGAGGAGTCGCTCCGGCTCGACCGACGCGTCGTAAGCCGAGTCAAAGACAGCAACGGGAGCGTTGTCGAGGTGAAGAGCAATTGCCATACGCTGCTGTGCCTCACCGTCGTTACCTGCGCAGATACGGTGTGAGTCATCGACAGCAACGGTCAGCTCCTCCTCGGAGGATGACGACGACGATGGGGATGGGGAGGGGGAGGTGGACATGGCGGGAGACGGGTGGATCGTGGCGAAGCGGGGGGGAGGGGGGGGGGAGGGGGGATGGGGAGTGGGGAGTGGGGGGAGTCGGGGGAGTGGGGGAGGTGGGGGG